ACTTTCAAAAAATAATTTTCTAGTGAAATAATGAATACATAGCTCTAATGATGTAAAATGAAGCACTAGATTTGCACAATGGGCTATTGGCGACGGTCTGGGAAACATCCCTGAGGATGATCCGAAGACATACCATCACAATTTTGATCCTCTGCAGAGGGGATGGCACCCCCTCTTAGATAGCCCGGCGACCTTCACGCGAAGTCGAGCACTTTACGGTAGGACAGTTTAACGAGGCCAATACCACACACCCTCGGTTCCTACGCAGACTGATCCAAGTGGTCACCCATCCGCGCACTGACCGCAGCCAGTGATGCTTGACTTCGGTGATTTACTGGGAACCGCGTCTTAGCGATCAGTCCACTGCGGGACGAATGTTCTAATTGAATTATCAGGACACATTTACTTAAATTCAAAAAAGAACTATCAAGTTTAAAAAAAATTAAAGTTAATGAATTTAAAATGAAGTTTAAAAAAGTAAAATGACAGAATAAATTTACGAAATTAAAGTTCTATATTAAACTGAATGGACAGTATTGAGTAATTGGAATATAGTAAGTTTATTATTTATTTTTCAAAATAAAGTTTTAAGTGTCAACGCATTGTCACCGCCATTGTTATTACTAAAATGTTAACCAATGTGTTAGATATTAATTAACCAATATTAACAAGCGTTTAATAGCATAGAGAACAGTGAAACACATTGAACGCCAGCATACTACTACAATTATCGATTTAAAAAAAAGACATTTAACATTTTTGATTTATATTAATTCTTATAAATATAGTTTGTTAACTTGTCAGCTTGAACATTTCTTTGTTTCTAATTAAAAATAAAAATGTCGGAAACAAGTACTCAAACCTGCATTTGCATGTGCAACAATAAATAAAATTTTAAATAAATATGTTTCTTGGTTTGCGTTGCCTAAAACTACAGTTTTTTAAGACACTTTACGTTATAAATTATGTGTGGTTTCATGCAGGATTAGTTGGCCTTAAGAGCACCCCATCAAAAAATAAAATTTTTTTCAAAAATGTCCTCTCGTTTTTTTTGTTTCTGTCTCTTGTAAACGACGCCGTAAACCCCGCCTTCCGATTGGCCCGATTATCAAGACGTCATAAGAACATTTTAGTGTGAAACAAACTGCAGCATATAATTTTTGTGCTTCTAGGCCTATATTCAATCCTTATCTTTAACTGTATCTTCAGACTTTGTTTTTGTTTTGTCATGCCGCAGACGTTTTTGAGCTCTAAAATTCGAATCTTCAAAAATAGAAAAGCTAAATCTTATTAAAACAATCCATTTCTACTGCCGGAAAACACTGTTGTTACTGTGTTAAAATGGGCGAAATAAATGAGTGGAAAATTTCAACCCGTCAAGGTAAAGGACTTGTGAGTGAAAAAAATACTGAAATCTGTATCACCGAATTTCGAGATAAATATTTAGTTATTATCTCAGATTGTGGTAAAATGGGTACTATGGTTCAAGTTGATTATCGAACGTCCGATTTACCCTCTCCTGAAAATGTGACTTACGATGCTAAAGTAATATTTGGTCGTGATGAACCTGAAATCCAAGCAGTAGCTTTGACTTTAGCGGAGACATATTTTCACAAAACTGTACTGTTTGGCTTATCTCTAAAAGAAATCAATCAAAATACTGTTAAAGAATTAAAAAATCTTGTTTCAAGTACACTTTCATGAACTTACTGATATCGAAGTTGAAGATAACGATTAATGTTTATATATGCATTCTTTGGAAAATCAAATATTTTTTAAAAAACTTCTTGAATGGTGTTATCGTTTAATTTGTCTTACTTTATGTATTGTAAAAACTTAATAAATAATTGTTGAATTTTATATGAATTGTTTTTTTAATGTTATCTTATTTACCTACATTTGTCTTAGCTATAAGTGTTTCCATGTTATATTAAACTGTATGAATCGCATTTATGATTTAAATATAGAATTTAAGGGAAAAGCTAATCACTCTTTAGTATTTTTTATCTTTGCAAGACTTTGGACAAAGCATATGATCCTAATTATTGGCATTTATAAATAATATTTATTTTATTAATAATATTTATTTTTTATATCTATTTATTCTGAGGCTTTATTACACATCTAATTATCTTACTAGTGTTTAATTCAAAAAAAATAAATGTGAAGTTTTAAATCTTGTTTAGTCCCGCAGTGGACTGATTGTTAAGACACTGTTCTCAGCAGATCACTGATGTCAAGCATCACTGGCTGCAGTCAGTGTGCGGGTGGGTGACCACTTGGATCAGTCTGCCTAGAGACCGAGGGTGTGCGGTATTGGTCCTCGTTAAACTGCTCTACCATATAGTGCTCGACTTAACGTGCAGGTCGTCGGGCTACGGAAGCGGGGGTGCCATCCCATCTGCAGAGGATCAAAATTGTGATGGCATGTCTTCGGAATCATCCTCAGGAATGTTTCCCAGACCGTCGCCGATAGCCCATTGTGCAGCTCTAGTGCGAAGTTAGATGAACTACAACTACTAAAAATTTGTTTAAACTTTAATAAACTAAAAGAATCCTTTATTTCTATGTCTTATTGCTATGTATTTTTTATTTTCAATAAACAATAGCATTAGTAAACTAAAATAATTTGACAATAAGTGTAAATAGAAAATTATTTTATCAAGTTTGTTTTCTTAAAAGTTAAATGTGTAGACATTTTGTGTTTTTAAACATTGCATTTTTTCCAAGACAAATTAGAATAATAATTTGATTTCATTTTTTTATGTCATCTTTATAAATTATATTTTTAATTATGTATAGGTGTACAGTATGCTGAAACTGACTAACCACCCTGAATAACTTTTGATGTAATGATCGAATCTTTACAACATTCTAAGACTCAATCTTAATGCCTCAAAGGGTCACCTATGCTAAATCATAAGTGCAGATCATATTTTTAGTTACGAAATAAGACATAAAAGTGTACTTTCTCTCAATAAACATATCTCTTTTTCGACGGATTCAGATTTCTGATCTTCAAAATATGATCCAAAGTATTCCCCAAGGTTTGGTGCACTCCAAAGTTTGGAACCCTTAATGTTAAATTTACTATTTGCTTATTCCGCTATGTCTCAAAAGCTTTTTAAGAGAATTGAAAAATTTTTGCACACAATTATAAAATTCGTTTATCCAAAGATGATTCCATGCAAAAAATAACTTAATTTTTATTTAATAATAGTCTAAAAAATTTTTAATTGTATGATATAAATTTTTTTGCATCATCTTAAGGAATATAATTTTACATGGCAAAATGCAAAATTTCAGTAAAATTGGTGAAATAGTTCCTTAGAAATCAAATTTTAAAGAATCTGACTTATTGAGAAAAAAAATTTTTAAATAATTTTTCATATCAGTTTTTTTCATAAATTGCATTATTAATGAATCGCATTCAATTAAATGTTTTTGAAGTTATTAAATCTTTATAAGATTTTTCTACAAAACTTTATTTATTCACTTAATTATAAATTTATATAATTTTTATAAAATTAATAGTTATTACAAATGTAGCAGAATGGTCAAAAGTAATTCACTGTTTATATATATATTTTTTGCTTCAATCGAGTAAAAGAATTAATATTAATATACTGATAAATATCTTATTAAGTTTATAAAATTAGTAGCTTTTAAACTCTTAAAATATGACATTTTTATAGACAGAAATAAGTAAAAAGCATCCTTATATTCAGACGAAATTGTGGTAGTAAATTTAAATAGAAATGAAATGGCATGAAGAATGAACCTTGAGTTCAGTTTACTGGACAGCAAATCAGTTATAAGGTTTAAAAAGAGAATATTGTTTTTAACTATTTGATTTTTAATTCTATACTACATTCTAAAATATTATATACATTTAAGTTAAAGCTTTTTTTTTCTTCATGTATGTGTGCAGCTCTCTTTCCCTAATTTATTTCTATCAAATTATGTAACAAAAAAAAAGAAGAGAATATTTATATTTGTCTTGGTTTTTCTTTTTTCAAGGAATAATAAATTGGCATGAAATGATATATTTCTAAGAAGTTTTGCTTTTCTTATAATTTGAATGATGAGGTGATAACCACAAATTCAAATGTGTTGAATTAAGACATTCTTTGTGTCAAATTTCATTCAAATTACAATTAAATTACCTTAACTTTATACTTTTTAAATTGTTTTTCTTAAATTTCCTTTTTTTCATTAGATTAGCAATCAATCTAATAATGTGAAGTCTTTTATTCTTTGAAATAAAAGTGAAGAATAACATTTAATAATTTTTGCATGATAAAAAAATACTGTTTTTATAGTACATATATACATACTTAAATTTTATCATAGCCCTACAATATGTGCAACTGCTTTAATTATTTTCTGTACACTTAACTTTAAGGGGAAATTTGTGCAGGATTTTTTCTCCGTCACCTATATTTTTATCCAATAAAATAAAATTAAGAAACCTGCTTTTTCAGCATGTTTTGCAAACAGTTAAGTAAAACAGATGAAAACTTTCTAGATACTTGTGTGATATATGTGGTGATAGTTGTGACATCTTAATAGTTATGTGTTCCTTAATATGAAAAAATTCCCTTCCCAATCCTCTTTCAGATATTAGATCTGGAACTCAGTTAAAACAATAATTTGGCTGTTTTTTAGCTGATTTTTTTCCTTGTCCGTTATGAATACGTGATGGATCAAAAAATTTCCAACATTTGTCAAAAGGAACTTTATAAGTTAAGGGGTTTAAGTTTGAAATTTATGATATGTATCCACCTACATTCTTTTTCTTTTGTGTATACCAGCTTATACATTACTGTAATGCTAGTATACACAATATATTTCACCAAATAAGTTAATACGGGAAGTAAGAAATGAAGTGAGTATTAACTCATTAGAAAGAAACTCTTTAGCAATATAACTGTTTTTATTATTAAACATGTTACTGAATGTGTTTATTTTTTAATTTTTAAATTCTTATTTTTATTTAGGCTTGTAAAGGATGTGTTCAGCAACCTTGTATATGTACTGGAGAGAAAGGTCTTCCTGTAAGTTACTTATATCTTCCTGTTATGTTTTACTATTAACCAATATTTTTAATAAAATAGTTTTCGTTTCATGTATGTCTTAGAAATTTCTAAAAATGTTAAAGGCCGTGACTTTATAATATCTATCTTATTGACAAACTTGTATACAAGTATTTTAATGCTCAATTTATATCGTCTATCACTTAGCTTTTTATCAATTATTTTTTGTTAAGAAGTTTGATTTATGTTATATGAATAGTTCTTTTTTCTACTATTATTTTTTTTGGAGGGTAAAATTCATTTCTATGATAACTTTATTTTTTGTAAATTCGTAATATGGAGTCAGTTTATATTTTAAAGAAAATTTTATTTATTTGAAGCATAAATGAAAATGATATACATAAATGAAATAAAAATGCACAATGAGCAATAAAATAAATGCAGGACTTAACTTTTAATCGATTGATTTGATTTCCACATAACAAGACTTATCTTTGTGGTTTTTGGAATTGTCCTCAAATCTGCTAATTAATAGGTGCAAACTGTGGTGATTTAGACAATGGAGCGTTTGTCTCCCTAGTGGTTGAATAAAAATATTGGGATATGATTTGCAACATACTCAGGGAGACAGAAAATACTCAGTTTAATGTTTCTCCAGAACACAGTTTTTTNCTCGCGCCTCTTCCAAAATTTATAGTGTTTTATTTGTTTATGTTTTAGATACAGTAACTTTTTCAAAATATTTTTGGAAAGTTAAGTTAGAATATTAATAAAAATTTTTCGTGATGATTTTTTCTGTGACTCAGAAAAAAAATTCTTTTAATTTTTTTCGTTACAAGCACATATTTAAGGAGTGCTAGTTCATTTATTGTTGCAGATCATGAGTGTGCAGGTTGAAATTCAGATAAAGGTCAAGAAATGTATTGACACAGGAATGAATAATATGGCTGTGAAGAAATCAGGCTTGTATTTACAACTGCCTAAAACACAAACTTAACATCAGTGTGATTGAGGGGAACTGCCTAAATACAATGCTGAAAAAAAGTATAAAGCCGAGCAAAAAGTCGCTAAATATGAAACACCACTGTTATGGCTGAATATACAAATTTATTTTCTACTTGCAAAGGTAGAGCCTAACTACTATGCATAACAAGTTTGTTTTTAATCCAAATATTATTTAAATCATTGCAAAATGGACATAATCATTGTAAAAACAAGTTGGAAAAAAGTATAAAGTTAATACTAATTGCAAGAAATGTATTGACACAGGAACTGTATGGACAAGAACTGTATTGACACAGGAACTGTATTGACATAGGAATGAATAATATGGCTATGGATTAATATTAAATAACCTATTTATAAATAAAAATGTGCTAAGTTACAATTTTATCAATCAGTTAATTTTTTAATAATTGAAAATAAAAGTACAGAAACATAATTGAATAAAAATTGAGAATAAAAACAATTGAAAATAAAAATCTTAAAAAACACTCGACATTCATTTTATTCATTATAGTATGTTAAATCAATTTTCATTTTAATACTTCTTTTTCTCAAAGCATGTGATTACAAAAAAGTAGTTTTTTTTTTATATTTTTCAGTTTTGTATGAATAAGGACGAAATTTAAGACTATTCTTTTGATTGATGCTGAACTACATAGACTAGAATGTAGAGTCACTAAAACTATTGTAACATAATAAAATAATATAATTCATAGATTTATTTATTCTAATAACTGTACTAAATGTTGATAGTAATTAATTTAAACCCTTGAATTGATTGATTGAAAGGATTATTAATTTATTTAAACAAACATTTATATTCTTTATAAATTATAATTAGTTTACTTATCAGGAAATATTTTATTCATAATCCAAAATATTAGCCTTTTATTTCCTGAGTACAATAACTTTTTTTCAAAATGTTTTTGAAAGTAAAGTTTATGTAAGAAAAAAATTTATTTAATTTTGCACAATATGTGAATAAACGAGCTTATATGTTAAAAATAATAGAAATCAAAGTGTATTGAAATAATAATAATTTATTAAATTAAATGTAAGGTCTCTCTCATAAACTAAAGGAATTCAAACTAATAAATACACAAATTAACATATAATGTTTTTAAAACAAGGAAAAATTTTCAAATTGACACACTTTCTAAACAATAAAAATTTTGTACGAATTTGTTTAAACCTAAAATTTACTCATGACTGCCTGAATTTTCTTCCAAGCCTCATTCTTGCAAACATATAATGCTACCCTGCATATAACAACAAATATTGAGAATAAAAAATAAGTTGTGATCTGACAATTAGTGGTGACCACTTTAGTATTACTTAATCTGAAAAAATCAGCCTAATTTTGGCATAAAAGAATTAAAATTAATGTTTAGATAGATAATAATCAATCAATAGCTTTTCCACAGAACCCCAGGGTACTGTGGAAAAATTCAGTTTTCATGGAAACACCATTTGAAACCACTGCCCTAAAGTATTATGTGGCAAGTAATATAATTGGATCGGCCTATTTTGAAATTGTTGATCTATTGAATGTTACTGACTTACTTCATGTGATTATTAGTAATAGTATTTTTTTCATTTTTACTAAAATTTTGTTGGCATCATATTGTCTCTTATAATATATATATATATATATATATATATATATATATATTAAA